GAATCAATAATAATTTTTCTACTCAAATACTTACAGTGGTGAGATGAAGAAGTGAAAATAAAGATATCTGAGGCTTATAACTAATAAAAACTACCCCTTTTAGAACTTCTCTTACGCTAATAATTTGGGAGCCACATGCAAGATATAGTAGATGATTTACAACAATTTCAGATCATACAATCTGATTTAAGTTCTTTTTAAGAGTTTGGCCATTCTTTTACTACTAAAAAATTTTTGGTTGATTATAATTTTTTTAACTTATTCCACACTTTTAGAACCATCTCACCAATTTTCTAGTTCAGATTTTCTCTCTCAGCCTATTTTCTGGGGTTTAACTCCTTCTCAATACTCTCCTTGCTCATATTAATTCCTTATCCTTTCTTCCAAAAAACTCATCTACTGCTTTTTCAATTGTATACACAAGATTGGGAGGAAGGTGCTATAAAATCTTGATATGATTTTACTCTTTAAGTAAAAAAGTACTGTTCAAAGAATTTACATTTTTGGTAATATTGAAATAACTAAAATTTAAATGAACTGATTACTTTAGATGATAATACCAAAGTATTTAGCACCAAATTTCTAAAACAATCCAGTTTGAAATATTGTTATGTCAATGCCAATCTTTGCTATAATTATCTTCTGATAGTATCCTATTGAATGGCTTCACTGAAAATTCCAATGAATAAAAGTATGAGAGATCAAGCGAATAAATGAAAACAGAGAAAAATGGAAATAAATGCCCATTATTAACAGTGCAATTTAGATTTAGCAGAGTACTATTTTAAAAAAAATGATATTTAGTTCTTTAAATAGATTTTTTTAAATGTCAGATTATTGTGTCCAAATGTTATTCTAAGTAGATCTTTGTGAGTATATGTCAGTCAGATAAAAAGATATCCTTAAATAAACATCAGAAAATAATGATTCTTTATAAGCATTACAAATTGATGGCCAAATAAACAACATCTCAAAATGCTTTGTGTGTGAGTATGTGTTTTGTATATAATAATAAATTCAATAGCCCTAATAACATCTCATAGAAAAACTCATCATAATCCATCAAACAAAATATGAGTTACCTCTATCTTTATCAAAATAGCATTTATTTAACCTCCAAAAAACATTTTATCTCTAACTGTATCTCCTTCCATTGATATGATTATCTACTTTTTAGAAATGCAAGCAATTATTATCGTTGTTAAAGATTTCAGACACATGAAACTTCAGTGTCAGTATAATAAAAGAATTAAACATAGGGGAGAAAAAGGAGAAATGTCTATTATGTGGATGATTATAATATTTATTAAATGGTTTTATTGTAGATGTACTCTAAGTGGGTGAGATCAAGCAGTAAAAATTTAAGAATCATGCTAATCTCAAAAATTAGTGTAAAAGACTTCCAAGACAAAAAATTTACTATATTGAACTTTATAAAAATTTATGGAAAATAGCTAATAATATTTCTCTAATGTCTGGCTCATGTCAGTTCATACTAGATTTTTTAAAAAATTCAATAAAGCATATAGGAAGGTAGCACTAGCAAATAAACTCAAACAAACTTGAAGCAGCAGTTAACGTGAATGAGGAGTCATGTGGTGAGTAGGACCTGGGAGAGACCATACATTTAAAATGAAAGCAATAAACAGCAGTAACAGAAAGTAGAATAACAAAGACAGATATGATAATAAAAAGCAAGATATATATTTTGATATGCAAAAATGCTGCATGTTGTGTAAAAATCCATTGCTTATTTATTTACTTTTTTAAGAATATGTGATTAAGCCATGAGGGGAATAGGTTAAATTCATTTCAACTTCTCAGGTAAACACCATGGACTAAATAACGGTTCTCTGAATCCCTGCTTCTTCAAAGAGCAAAATATCACTGTGTAGATGTTGGGTTGGATAAACTACAAAAACTAGAGGTAAACATTTTTCCATGTATTTCAAATGCCTTTCCGTAGACAATTTATTTAAAATGTACAACTGAGGTATTAAAACACTTCATGTCTGCCTGTGATAGAATTTTAATGAAAATTTCCCTATTCTCTTCTTGCTTTCATCTATTTTTCCCTTTTCTCAATATCTGTTTTGCTTTGTGGAGGGGTTGGAAATAATGATAATTGTAAAACTGAACTATTAGGGCTTGCTTAAATCAGTGACTGGGAAATAAATTAGCTTCTATTCCCTCAAAGTAATAATATCAGTAAGTGAGACCTTCCAGTTATGGTGCAGGAAATTAAAGCCATGATGGCTAAAGCTTTAACAAAGTCACAAGAGACTGTATATTATTGATTCCAAGAAAGACAGATTTCTACTATCCAGAAATATGACATCTGTCTCAAAATGCATGATTAAAAAAACCAAGCAAACAAGTTGAATCAGCTCAGTAACAGGAAAATATGCAAATGACTAAAAAGAAAATAAAATCAATACTAAACAAAAACAAAAGCAAATCAGGACCTTCAAGAGAATGAAATTGAACTGTTTAAAACAAATATTTGAAATAATATAATGTTAATTTCTTGGAGGGAGAATTCATTAATCAAAATGTAAAATCCTGAGGTCCAGGAAGAGTAACTGCTTATGTGGGTTTGTTATCAGGTTAATAGAAATATAAAATTAATGGTGATGAATGCACAACAATAGGTACATAACAAAAACAATCAAAGTATATGCATTAAAGAAGTTTTACAGTATGTGAATTATGTCAATAAACAAATTCTTTGTTTTAATCTATGATGAGTCTAATGGCTGTCACTTATGATATCACCTAAGATATCTTCAGATTTTTTCATATCTTAGTTTATTTTTACAACTATTTCTGAGATCCACAGAATAAACTGAGTTTTAACTAAAATTCACAAAGCCAGATTAAAAATACTTGTTATTAATTGCATTCAGACAAACGATGTTATATAGCCTGTTGCTGTACTCAAGGGGGAAAAAAGACCTCAACAAAATTTAGATGGTCTTCTTTTAATTGTATCAATGCCTATACACCAACACATATGGTATTTTTATTATGCTCCCCCAAATTCTGGCATCCTCTCCTTGCTGCTTCCTCTTTATGGATCCTCATTTCTGGGAAGCAAGCTGCTTTACTGCCATCATGTTCAGGCTGCTGAATATTGGTAGAAAGTCATGAAATTTGGCTTAACTTCTGTACAAATTGATGTTATCTAACCTCATCTGAGCCTTCAATGCTGCTTGGAAATCTTTTTATTAAAGTCTGATTGGCTCCTGAACACATTTTTCCATAGTGCTCACTTTACAGCTTTTCAAATCTGTCCTTTCAATGTGACCTCACCTATTCACTCAATAAAAATCCTCACTGTCTACTTGATGGAAACTTTTCTCTGCTTCAAAATTTACCTTATCATTTGTAGGGAGTACTTCATTTGAAATAAACCTGACTTTCATTATCACTTGTCTGAAACTATCTTAGCTGTATAACCATGGCAAGGCAATTAATTTATGTGGTCCTTGATTTTCTAATCTGTAAAATTAATACCATGTACTTGGTGAATTTTATTCATTTGTTTTTTAATTTTTTTGGCAGTGCTGGGGCTTTGACTCAGGGCATTGCACATGCTAGGCAATCACTGAGCTACAACCCCAGCCCTATCTTAAGAATGGGTCTTGTTAAATTGCTGAGGCTGACCTTGAAAGAGTGACCCTCCTGCCTCAGCCTTCCAGGTGCTAGAACTATAGGCATGCAGCACCAAACCCTTCTACTTGGTGAATTTTAAAGCCATGTTCAATATTAAATAAAAGTCTTTCTAATCTTGTGCTTAGTATTTTCTACTTCCCCCAAGACCTTTCCCTTTCATTCAGCCTATACATACTGAATACAAATAAGGCACAAGGCATTTTTTTCTCTGTTAATCTCCTATCAATTTGATTCTTCTCACCTTAAACATGCTTAAGATTTCATCTTCTAAAATCCTTCTTCATTATTGTAATTGCACAAGCTAACGGTTTCACTACTTTTCAATCAAATTACTGCAGGATATGGATAATACTTGAAGACTTTGCTTTCTTATGACTAACGTATCTTTTTATGCCTTCAATTTGGCTTCTGTTTCTGGCACTTTCTCAAAACAGCTGTTGCAAAGGTCAAATGATTTTTTTTTTTTTTTTTGATTCTCATCCTACTTGAACTATCCCTGACATAAATCATCACTGGTTTTGAACCACCATCTTGAAACTTTGTTTTCACTTTCCTTGACCCTCAAAGTCCAGCTCTATTTCTGGGGTGCTACTTTTCTCCTCTCTTTCTTTACTTTTCTGTTCCTTTCCTGGTCTATGTCCCAAACATGGATATCCATCAGTGATCTCTTTTGATCTTTATTTTTCTTCTACTGAAAGCGTCACTCATCCTTGGATCTTAATAGTTTATGTGGATTACAAAAACTTTTTAACTGAACTCTTTCAGTAGCTGGACATCTCTATTTGTTGGTCTCACTAACCTAAAGTTATATTGAAATTAAAATTCATCACTACACTCTAAAACCCACGTAAGAGGAAGAAAAAAAAGGAGGGGGGAACGCAACCTGATCTAGCTCTTAGAATTCTTTCATTAATGATATAAAAAGTTTTCTAGTGACCAGGAGTCACATGACAGGGTAAAAAAAAGTCACTTGTGTCAGGAACTGCTCTGTCCTCTGAAAACCCACAGCTTTTCATATACTTAGCTCTTTATTGTACAAATATCTCAAGTCTCTGAAAAGCAACAAAATTATCATTCTTATCATTACCTGAGGTTATGATCTAGAAAACATAGGCTGTTTTAAAACAGCATCAAAATTAGTCTCAAGCCATTTTTTTCCCACCTCACAACAAAAATGTAATCATACATTAAATTATATCCGTTTGCTTTTCCAGATCCTTCCTTTAATTCTGTGAGTTAATACAAAGACCAAGAGAATCCAATGAAAGCTCATTTCAACTAGATTTAAAGAGAGGGAGAAAAGAAAGAGAAAGCCATCCACTCACACTTTGTCTGTCCCATAACTCCTGTAGTCCACGGCCGCAGACACAGCCACAATGAGCGCGGGCATCCCATAGCCCACCAAGTAGAAGTACTTCCTCCGTGAGTGCTCACTCTCGAAAACCTCCACCAGCATGATGTACAACTGCACGCCCTCCAAGAACATCCAGGTGAAGGCAGCCAGGAAGAAGAAATGTAAGAGGGCAGCGAAAACGGCACAGGCGATCTAGGAAGATGAGCAGAGTCAGTCAAATATCTGCCACGTGAGTGTGTGTCAACTGTGAAAAACTGACATGAGTGTTTATCAACATTGCGGTAGTAAGGTAGGTCTGCGGAAGTCATCCAGAGAAGATCTTTAAAACACAAGTGTTAAACACGAATTAGATATGGTTTATCTTTGAAATCTGTACTTAATACCAATAATGGCTTAGGTATGGCAACATAGCATCAGAATAAGGACAAATTACAACACTTAGGAAAAAATTCTAATAAGAGCCTATAGATAATTACCACTAAGCTTAGTCTAAAGATTTTAAAAATAGATTTCAGGAATTTTTTTTTCCTGGTCAGTCATGTGTGTACTAATATAGTAAATTGGTTTTGTTGTTGTCATTTGAGGCTAGCAATTTAACCCAGGGCCTCAGGTGTGCAAGGCAAGAGCTCTACCATTGAGCTACATCTCCAGCTCTACGTTATTTAATTGTAAAGAAGGGAGGAACATTAAAACCAAGGGGAATAAATTTTCTTAAAATTAAACAATATAATTAATGATAATCTTTTATGATGAGATTACTAATTATTAGTAATTGCTTCTTTATTGATTCCCTGCCTTGTTTCTTTCCTGGTATTTTTGTCAATGTACTATGTATCACTCTAAACAAGATTAGCCAAATGAAGCAACAGTTCTTATTTATTTATTTGTTTGTTTGTTTATCTTTCTATTTATTTATTTATATTAGCACACACATGACTAGCACCAGGAGAAAAAAAATAATCCTGAAAACTATTTTTAAAATATTTATTTATTTATTGGTACCAGGGATTGAAGCAAGGGTTGTTCTACCACTAAGCTACATCATCAGTCTTTTTCTTATTTTTTTAATTCTTGAGACAGGGTCTCAGAAAGTTGCCTGGGTTGACTTTGAACTTGTGATCTTCCTGCTTCAGCCTCTTGAGTAGCTGGGATTAGAGCCATGTGTTACTTCATCTGGCATTTATATACAAGGTACTGTAAATTTCTGCTGGCCATCTATTAATTTTCCATTCTCATTTCAGCTCCTGAAATTCTCACTGCTTTGAGTTCTTGCTATTTACATGAAGTGTTGACTAAATTCTATAACTCCTATTAGCAAACATCAGCACCTTATAGAAATTTTTAAGAATAAGATTAATTTATTGATAAGTCTGGTCCTAAAGAAATGTGACAAGCAGGCACGGTGGTATACACCTTTAATTAATCCCAGTGACTTAGAGGCTGAAGTAGGAGGATCACATGATCAAGGCCAGCCTGGGCAACTTAGTGAGACTCTATTTCAAAATAAAACATAAAAAGGACTGGAGATATGATCAGTGGTTTTGTGCCCCTTGGTTAATCCCCAGTACCAAAACAAACAAACAAACAAACAACAACAACAACAAAAAACCAGGGATGGTGATAGAAAAATGTGACAAAGGGTAGGTCACTGTCACTGGGATATAAAGATGACATGAAGGACATGTGAAAGAGAGAGAAATCAGGTCTCAAGTCTTAGATAGATGTAGAAGAGGATACCTAATCAGCAATAAAAGGAAAGATAAGTTTCACTATACCCAGGTTTTTTCATATCAATAACTATTTTTTAATATTTATTTTTTACTTATAGGTGGACACATATCTTTATTTTATTTCATTTTTTATACGGTGCTGAGGATCCAACCCAGGGCCTCGCACGTGCTAGGCATGCACTCTACCTCTGAGACACAATCCCAGCCCCTCAATCACTATTCTTTATGTGACTCATCAAAAACCAATTTGTGTAGTAGACAATATTTAGTGAAGCTCATCATACCATATGTAATGTCAGGAAGCAAAAATAAAAATAATATTTCTAAATGAAAAGAAATCAAATAGTATTTAAATTGCAGGTTAACAAAAGAATAACATAATCTCTTCTTGAAAAATAACACAATTTTTCATTTATTGCCTTTTAGAATTACAACTTCAGCTATTAATTTTTGTTATTGTAAGGCTTTACTTTTTTGGGGAAAGGAAAGTGTACTTTGATTGCTTATTCATATATATACATTTAGGGACAAAATTACCACATAAGTATATGATAACCAATTACAAATATATTCACCATAATTGTACCTTTTGAGTCATTAATCATGAATGTGTAATCACAGATATGAATCCAGCTGCATTTGTACCATAAAGTACACCATGCATATAGGCACATACTAAAGAACAGTATTAAGTGAATGAATTATTTATTATACTCAAAAGTCTTTCTTTTCCATTGCAGTTTTAATCATGAAAACAAACTAGTACCATAATTATCAATCTTAAACAGAAAAGGCCTCAAAAAATTTTAAGTGGGCACAAAATCTGTGTAATGTAAGATGTTGTCTATTGTTTATACATTTGGTTTGGTTTTACCAAAAACAGTTGGCTAGTTCCGTTTGTTTTTTCCTTTCTTTGTTTCTTCCTTCTTTCCTCAGTAATGACTAAATGTAGGAAGTATTCAAGAATGAAGCTGGCACTTAAAGAGGTGAACTGTATCCAACGAAATAAAAAGTACCAAACAAAATTTGGGAAAAGCATATATATTCTAAAAATAACCTATAGTTTGTACTCTTTGCCAAAGTGTGTCAATTAGAAAAACTATTTTTGAGATGCAAAATGTAAGATAATATTAGCTATCTTTTCAAGATTATAAAGCTGAAAAAATAACAATTCTGTTTGAAAAGATATTTCTGCATTCTCCAAATGACCTTATTAAACATTCTCCAAGATTCAGCACTACAATTTTAAAAATTAAGAAAAAGATAATGAAGATATGTAGTTCTTCAGAAAGATGTTTATGAGAAAGGAAAGAAAATTTTGGAAGTAATGTAAATCTTATTCAGAATAGTATGGCCATTTCTGAAGATAGTTTGTTAATTTCTCCCAGAACTAAACATATTCTTACGATATGATCCAGTAATTACACTCCTCGATATTTACCTAAAGTAGTTGGAAATATGTTTGTACAAAAACCTGCATATGAGATGTTTATAGTATCTTTATTCATAATTATCCAAACATGGAAGCAACCAAGATGTCTGTCAGTAGGTAAATGGATAAATAAAGTGGTACATTAGACATTTTGGACAGCTATTCAGTACTATGAAGAAATGAGCTATCTTGTCTCCAAAAGACGTGGAGAAAACTTCAATGTATATTACTAAGTGAAAAAATCAAATATGAAAAAGCTACAAACTACATGATTCCAAATGAATAATATTTCAGCAAAGGCAAAACTATGGAGACAATACAAATAATTAGTGGTTGCCATGGCTTCAAAGGGAGGGAGGAATGACCACAAAAAGTACAGAGAATTTTCAAGTCAATGGAAATATTTTGTATGATATTTTAAGGGTAAATATACAGATCTATGCATTTGTCCAAACTCATAAAATATATAAACATCTACAGTGACTTCTAACAAATTATGAACTATGTACTTTCAATAATAATAATAATATGTCAATATGGGTTCACCAACTGTCACAAATGTATCATTTGGGTGGAGGATATTGATAAAGGAGGAGACTATGCATATGTGGAAACAAATGATCATTGGAAAATCTCTGTATGTTTTACTGAAAAATCAAAACCTGCTCTAATAAATAAATAAGCAAACAAATAAATAAAAGATGTGCATCTCATTCACATTTACTAGTATTTTACGACAGTGAAACATGAAAAATGGAAAACTTGAGTAACATCTGAAAAGTACTGTCTATTAAATCAAAGAAAATATACTTTCAATCATAATTATTTTCAGTATTGGCAATATGGAAAATTGGAAGTGAAAGAATTCTTTACTAATGTCAATGAAGGTGGCTTACTGGTTGGTCAGTTCGGTTGATTCCAATGAGGAAGAGCAGCTCTGCTACAAAAAGGCTGATGCAGAGATTCTTGTGGATGGTGTTACGGTCACTCTGGAGCCCACGGAAAAAGCAAAATGTGAAGATGCAGATCAGGAGACAAACAAGAGACAGCAAAATTCCAACCCATGTAATCACATCCAAAAGAAGGTCATGGACTGCATCACTGTGCTGGAAACACAATAGGAAAAAAAAAGTTGTAATCATCATAACCAATTATAAAGTTTCATATGTGCCTGGATTCAGGAAACATGATCTTAATAATGCACAAAATATCCTCCATACCTACAAGAAATAAAATTTTCTCTTTCACAAATACAGCATTTCATCTTTCCTCTGAAGTGTGAATCACTTGCATATTCACCAATGTCAATAGCATTTGCTGCTTTGTTAGCAAATGCATTTCAGGATAGTAATAACTGACTCAGATCCATTTAATTTGGCCAAATATTTAAAGGAAAAACTTTGGTTTTCTAACTTATATTACTTTTAAAATTAATTTTCATACAGCTGACTCTGGGGAATACTCTATTAAAAAAACTAAGCTACACACTTAAGGAAATGGTGTCTCAATTCAATTTTGAATCACTTCAGGATTGTTTTGTATGTGAAATATATAATTCTTATGTTCTATAAATTCTTTATCAGAATTTACAAGTTGAGTTCATAAAAGTATGCATTTTTATAAAAATCCCCAGTTAATTCTCATGAATAGTCACATATGTGTACCATTTATTTAGTGGGAAGATCTAAAAGAAAGAAGATATTCATTGGATTTATATTCATATTGAATGGCTTAAGGAGATCAGGAAATTTGATCCTTGAAGGGGTTTAAATGAATGAAACCTGTTATATGTAGATGGGAAGTAAGTATTCTGAATCACTATGCCTAATAACAGAATAAAGCAGATAATAGAGCTAAGAAACAAGAAAAAGTTCACAAATACACTTCTGTGCATCATGACACTGCCATTTTGGGCTATGATAAGAAGGTCATGGACTGCCTCATTCCTTGGTCTGTCCATTATTTCATTTTTGTATTTATCCTAAGACTCAAAAGTCGCTGTCCATTCTGTTTTAGTTTGCCCCCATGCAAACTAAAACCCCATTCCCCAAGGTTTTAGAATTCAGTGTCTCCCACCATAGCCGTGTGCCAAGGTGGTAGAGCAGAGTTGAGAAACTCTCTATGATAGTCCATTACTTTTATCTTCCTAGGTTTCCTGCAAAGCTCTAAATACCTAACTTCTATCAGTAGAGGACTAGATAAGTAAATAAAGTTAAAATGTGTAATTCTTAAGTAGAAAATCAGTATATTAGACTTACTGTTACAAACATGGATACGTCTCAAAATTCTAATATAAGGTTTACTTTTAAAAAAAATAGCAACCAGCAAAAGAATCTAGACAGGATGAGATCATTTATTTAAAAAACTTAAAAGAGGCCCCCTCCCCCTGCGCCGGCAAAGTAGAGGGAACTGTGACCACGCACAGAGCAGGCCCAGCGGCCTGCTG